TTTGAGCTGGAGAAGACGGAGAGCCTGCTTGTCGCCCCCTCGGGTGAGGGGGAGCTGCACCCGCGGGAGCCCGCCCTGCCCTGCTCTCCGGGGGCTGGGGGCTGCATTGCAGCAGCCCCTGCCTTGTGCCCACTCAACTTGGGAGGGGGCCTGGGGCTCCCGCTGGTCCCCTGCAATAACAGGCGAGAAGTGTGGCCTGAGCTCATTGCAGTTTACTGTCCTGGGGATGGGCCTTGGCCACGACCGGCTGGACTAGGGAGGTGAGGGGGGGGGTCTGGGCTTTAAGCAGCTCTTTGCAGCCACAGCTCATGCCCCCTTGTCCCGTCTCCGGTAGACATTGTTGAGCACTCCCTGCCCCACAACGTCCTGTGCTTCGTGGAGGATCCCGGCTTTGGCTACAAGGACTTCACGCGGCGAGGAGAACAGGCCCCCCCGACTTTCCGAGCGCAGGTGCGTCCTGGGCCCACCCTGCTCCCAGCACCTCCTTCCGCTGGCCACGTTGGCATCGAGGGCACTGGGGTGGCTCGAGAGGTCTCGGCCAGGCTGGGACCCTGGTTTGCTGCCCCTGAGCTGGGGACCGGGCTGTGCTGGTTGTCACTGGGGTAGCAACCGTCCGTGGGGTCTAGTGAACAGTGGGGCAGCCCGTGCTGTAGCCCAGAGCCCGGCTTTTGCTCTGGACCTGGCCCCTATTAACCCCCGTTGAGCATTCCCTGCCAGCACCTTGCATTCCCTGCCCCAGTGCTTGTCCGGAGCCCACCTGGGCTCTGTCCATAGAAAGCCCCTTTCAGGGGGGTCCTGAGTCAGGCCCCAAGTTCCCCCCTGGAGCCCCTGAGCCAATGTCCCTCTGCTGCAGGATTACACATGGGAAGACCATGGCTACTCGCTGATCAACCGCCTGTACCCGGACGTGGGGCAGCTGCTGGACGAGAAGTTCCAGGTGGTCTACAACCTGACCTACCACACCATGGCCATGCACCGGGGCGTGGACACCTCCACGCTCCGCCGCGCCATCTGGAACTACGTGCACTGTGTCTTCGGCATCCGGTAGGTGACTGGGGCTGGTGCCCTAGAGGTGGCCTCCCTTTCTGCCCCCTTGCTTTCACCCAGGCTCTACAAGCACCTGGCTAAAAGGGTCCCCCCTTCTGCCTCCCCCCCACAGGTATGACGACTACAACTACGGGGAAGTGAACCAACTCCTGGAGCGCAGCCTGAAGGTCTACATCAAGACGGTGGCCTGCTATCCCGAGAAGACCACGCGGCGCATGTACACCCACTTCTGGCGCCACTTCAAGCACTCTGAGAAGGTGCTGTGGCTTCCCCACCCCTCCGCTCTCCCCCGCCAGGGCACATTGGGGTGTTGGAGGGTCTTGGGGGGCGCAACCGCTGAACCAAGACCAAGCGTTCCTCGATGTGGGTTGGGTCCAGGGAGAGCTGTCTCCAGTGCCCATCTCTGTGTGGAGCCGTGAGGGTGCTCTCTCCCCCCACCCCAATACAGGGCTGTGGGGAAGCAGAGGAGGGCACCTCACTGCAGCCCTGACCCCGCGCTCCTCCCTTCCAGGTGCATGTGAACCTGCTGCTGCTGGAAGCCCGGATGCAGGCAGCCTTGCTGTACGCGCTGCGAGCCATCACCCGCTACATGACCTGACGGGGCTGTGCCCCCCTGCCCCACCCCAGCCCAGCCGCGGGGGCGGGGGAGTAGGGGGGCAGGAGGACACCTGCTTGGAAAGACTCAATCTCTGTGTCCTGTCAGCAAGGACGTGGGGTCCGCTGCCCATGGGGCCCAGAGCATCAAACTGTTCAGCCCCCACAGTGTGAAGAACCACCTCGGCCGTGCCCAGTGTTCCCCGTTGATGCTGTCCCTGTCCCGTGACCCGCCCCCGTGGCTGCGGCGCTGGCGAGGGCAGGGGGCTCTTGCTGCAGCCTGGGGCTGGGGAGAGGACCCCGACGTCCACGTGCCTTTCTCCCGAAACCGAAGTGAACTCCAGTGGCGGCACGGCCACCCCCTGCTGCTGCCTCCCTGAGCCCGGGGCCCAGCGCCGCTTATCCCTGGCCTCGTCTCGTACCAAAGAGATCTCCCAGGATCCACCCAGCGGCTGTGAATGTGAATGGATTCTCCCCCCCAGCCCTGCTCCTCTGTGGCTCCGTATCACTATAAGACTTGGACCGCTCAGAACCGAGGCATCTCAGCCCCAGGCGGTGGTGGGTTGGGGCAGGATCAGGACCGGGTCCCGGCCGACACTATGTGATGGGGCTTCTCCTGCCCTGAGCACCACCGGCTCTTGCACTCCACGTCCCCGACAGCCGCAGGAAGGATGCTAGGGAGAGCTGGGCAAGGAGCCTAGCCCCGCACCAAGGTCGCTGTGCCGCCACAACCCTTACGGGCAGGAGCTGCACAGACGCCGCACGGGACAGAGGGACAGATCTCTTCCCCAACCCCTTCTGCACTGAGGGTGTGAGGTGCCACACTGCATGTCCGTCCTTTTCAACACTCCAGACACCGGGGTCTGCCCTGTGGGGGCAGCCTCTCTCCTCTGCTCTTCCCACCTGGGTGGAAGCAGCAGCAGGAGGGAGGGCTGGATGGGAGCCTTGACCCCGGTGCGAGCTGAATTAAAGCGTCTCTGGGTGCTTGGGGCAGTTGGGCTGGCGACCGGGTCATCTGCGGTCAGCAAGCCCTGGCAGTTCTCTGCAGGACGTCCAAACCCCTGATTCATGTGAACGGGCCTTGGAGGGCACCCAGGGGCTTTGGCCAGGGGTGTTGTCACATCTCACCCTTTGGTCCACAGTACATTTCCCTCCGGCCTTGCAGCCCCGGCACCTCCTCCAGCCCGGATCAGCTGCCTTGCAGGGTGAGGGGAGAGCTGGGGCTCAGCCAGCGCTGGCAGCCCAGGCCCAGGGAGCAGCTCTAATCTGTGAAGAAAACCTAGAGGCCTTTTTTTTAAATGATTATTTAAGCTGATTTTTCCCCTCTTGCAGCCTGGCCCCCCTGCCCCAAGCTTTGCCTCTGAGCTGCCCTTTGCACTGCGATCCTAAAGGGTTCATGCCTCGCGTTCCTGGGGACCTGGCAGCATCTGCAGCTTCCCGCCAGTCACCAGGACACCCCTTGTTTTGGGTCTGCCTTGCATGGAGACCCCTGTCTGCTCTGGTGGGGGACTCATACCCTGGCTCTGCTTACCCCCTGGGCAGGCAGGTGCCATCCTTTCTGCCCTCAGGGGACGTCACTCCCAGTACCCGTCAGCCTTGCAGCCCTGCCGCAGACCCCAGCCTGGGATTCTGCTTTTGGGACTGACCCCGCAGCAGCCGGGCAGAGTGCGGGGGTCAGTCGCAGTCTGTCTTTTTTATTTTTTTTTTTTTAATGGCTCTGAATGTGGGTATTAGCTGGAGCAGCCTCATTGCACAGGGGCCCGAAGACACCCGGAGAGGGGCCGGGACGACGTCTGCTTGGCCCAGGGGAAGCAGAGCCTGGAGCTTGCTCCCGCGGGTAGAAACAGCAAGCGGCATCGTGTGTGGTGTGTATGCGATGCCTGTGCATTGCCCGCTCGGCCCCATGCGTGTCTCCAGCACTGGCTCCTTGTCCTCCCTGCGCACTGCAGTATTGCACGCCTGCCCTGGCAGGGTTTGCACAGCGCTCCCCAGCTGTCTCCATTTCTCACCAGTGAGCTCCTTTCCGGGGGCGGCTTGTCCGCAGCTCGCCAGCTGCGTGCTCCGCTGGGGGACGGGGGCCGCCCGCGGGGTTACAATGGCCAAGGGGGGACACGCAGACTGTAGCTTTATCCCGACGTGCCACAGCATTTCACATAGGTGCCGGTCGCTGTGAAATGCCCTTGCCCCCCCCCAGCCTTCCTGGGCCGGACAGCTCCACCCGCCCGGCGTGGAAGCACGAATGTTGCCCCGTGTTGCTGACCTGTAGCTCCGTGTAAGTTATTATTTGGGGAGGTGTTTAGTCCTGCCTGGGTGGGCATCTGCCCCCGGGACTTTGCTACCGACCCCAGCAGGTCAATAAAAGTCTGTTTTTTCTTTTTTCCCAAATGCCTCTGTCTGTTTGCTTCCCCTGGTCTCACGCAGGGCTCGGCAATGGATGTGGGAATCCCCCCTGCACCCTGCTCAGGGCTGCCGTGGGTCTTCAGCGCCAGGCTGCTGCTGCTAGCTTTGTCCCTGGAAAGTCTGGCTGCTTGTGGGCATGATGCACATAGCAACAAATTTGGAGCAAGTCACTCCACGAGCCACCCCAGCCGCTGCCAGGGCTGCCGGAGCCCTCCCCAGGACCGGGCAATGGAGCTGGAGATGAGCACTGAAAATCAAGAGACGGTTGTCCCTGCCAGGCTCGTGTCCCCCTCCCTCTCTGCCCTCCCTGGGAGCTGGCTTGGAGAAGCAGGGGGCCTGGGGGAGCAGCCCTTTCCTCTCGGGCCTGCGGTTCGGGCTGCCAGGCCTGGGTGCTGCGTGCGAGGCGCGGGGGGGCCGGGCCGCGGCGCTGGTGCAGCCGGGCGAGGGACCGTTGGGTGCCAGGCTGTGGGGAGCGTGTTTAGCACAACAGCTTATCGGCTCTGAGCAGGAGGCCTGCGGCAGAGCAGGCGGATCAACCGCCGGCTGCTGATACGGAGGCCCGGACACAGCCCTGGCACCTGGCCCCCAGCCCAGCCCTTCTCTGTCCCCAGCCCAGCATGGCCTGGGGCTGTGATTGCTCCGTGTCCCTTCACTCGACCTATCCCTTCGCTAGGGCTGGGGGGCTGGAGCGTGCAGCACAGCTAGGGCGCCGGTTAGGGCAGGAAGCGAAGACCTTGGTGTGGAAACGGCTACTGGCGTCCTGCGCTGCATCGGCAGGAGCGCTGCCAGCAGATCCGGGGAAGTGATGCTCCCCCTCTATCTGCACCAGGGAGGCCACATCTGGAGTCCTGTGTCCAGCTGTGGGCCCCCACTACAGAGAGGATGTGGACATGCTGGGGAGAGTCCAGCGGAGGGCAATGGCAATGGTTGTGGGGCTGGGGGATGTGACCTGTGAGGAGAGGCTGAGGGAAATGGGCTGATTTAGACTGCAGAAGGGAAGACGGAGGGGATTGAATAGCAGCCTTCAACTCCCTGCAGGGGGGCTGCAAAGAGGATGGAGCTGGGCTGGTCTCAGTGGGGGCAATGGGCTCAAGGTACAGCAAGGGAAGTTGAGGTTGGATAATCAGGAAAAACTTTCTCACGAGGAGGGTGGTGAAGCACTGGGACAGGCTCCCCAGAGCGGTGGGGGTGGGATCTCCATCCTTGGAGGTTTATAAGACCTGGCTAGACAAAGCCTTGTCTGGGATGCTGTGAACAGGGGGTTGGACTAGATACGACCCCCTGAGGTCCCTTCACCCCTCATTGTCCGATTCTGTGACGTGAGGGGGGAACCAGGGGGAACAAACCCTTCCTGCAGGGGCCAGAGAGGTCGGTTTTCAGTAGGAAAGAAGGAGCTTCCTGCAGAGATCCCCTTGGGCTCGGGGAAGGGCTGAGCCAGTGGGGTGCAGGGGGAGCCTGAGCTGAGCTGAGCCTGGGTGCAGGGGGGACCGAGTTCACATCCAACTCGGAAGAGCAAGAGGGGAAACTGAGGCACTGAGAGGAGGGAGTTGCCTGCTGCCACCCAGCAGGTCAGTGGGAAAAAGCCTGGTTCCCTGAGCTGGGCTCAGCATGGAGCCCAGCGCCCACACAGGCGAGCCAGCTGTGGCCCAACTGTGCTGTGTGGGTGCGGGGGGCTCGTGGCCACCTCTCTGCCTCGCTCGGGGCTGGGCCGATGAGAGCTCCCTGGGCAGGACTGTTTGCGCAGTTATCTGCAGCAGGCTCTCGTCAAGCTGCCCCCAGGCTGGCTAATGGCTCCCAGCCGGCCCTGGGCGTAACGGCGATCCCTCGGGGGAGAGCAAAGGGCTGTGGTGGTGGCAGAGGAGTGCGGCGCCTCCTGTGCCCCCGGCTGCAAGGTCCCTGCTGACCCCCTTCGCTGGGGCTCCAGGCAGCAAGGAGGGAGGTGCTGGGTGGCCTGCAGGTAAGCCTGGGAGCCAGGAGCCCCCAGGGCAGGGCCCGCTGCGGGAGGGGCCCCCTCATCCGGACATGGGCTAGGGGAGGCTGCACTGCCTGTTCCCAGCTCTCCCCAGCAAACCAGGTGGGGAGCTGCTTCCACCAGTAGGAGCTTCCTATAATTTCTGGGCACCTCCCCTGAGGGTCCGTGGACCCTGCTTTCCGAGGGGCAGAGCCCTTGCCCCCCCCCAGCGTCCGTGGGTGCAGCGTGGACGCTGGATCGCTGAGCATCGATCGGGTTGACCTGAGCTGGAGGCTGCTCTTGCAAAACGCGGCCCTGGCTGGAGCTTGCTGGTTCATGGAGGGGCTCGTAGCATGCGGGGTTTGAGCGGGGCCTGGGTGTGAGGGCCGGGGGATCCCTTCCAGCCCTCAGCAAGCGTCCCTGGGAGCGGGGGCTGCTTGGCGTGACCCCCGCGGGAGCCCAGGGAGGAGGCCGGTGCTGGGCTCGGGCCAAGGGCCAACTGAGGCCAACGCACAGAGCTCCGGTTCCTGGTGCACGACTGGTCTCCGGTGGGCTTGGTAATAAAGGGAGTCTTTTTCCAGCAGAACGACCGTGGTGGCATCTCTGTGTCCCCCTGTCCTTCCACCTGTGGCCTTACACCGCAGGATTGGTGTTTCTCAGGACACGGCTCTGGCTGTCTGCAGCTTTCTGCATCACTTAAGATGCCCCCGGGGGAAAGGGGCCCGATGTCTGGAGGGCTGGGCTGGCTTTCCTCCCTCGGGCGGAGGAATCTGGTCAGACCTGAACTTTTTAAATAGCTCTGACCTGGCAGGATAAAGTGGGGCCCCCACCTGGCCCCGCAGGAGCTGGGGGTGGCTTTCGTCCTCCTCTGGCTGAGCCAGCAGCAGCCGGGGCCACGTTGCCCCCCCCGGGCACCTTTGCAGGTGGTCTCGGGGAGCCTCCCAGGCTGACAAGGAACCGCACGGCTGTGCTAATTGGAGCGGCGCAGATTAAACCCCAGCTGCGCCAGCCGAGCAGGAGACTCGCCAAGGCCAACGCCATGGTCTCATCTCAGCTGGGGACAGCTCCTCCCTGGGGGTGATGCCCCTTGCTCTGAGGCCCGGGCGAGCGTGGCGATGGGCTGTGGTCCTCCAGAGAGGAGGAAGGGCCGTGGCCTTGCAGGCTCCAGGGCAGGGAGCCCAGGAGCTGAGGGTCATGCTTTTTAGCTTATCTGCTGGGCTGGACCCGCTCACCCCCGCCTCTTTCCAGCCTCGATGCCCCCCAAGCTCTGCCCCCGGGTCACGTCCCACAGGGGCAAGCGGAGGGCTCACCCCTGGGCGGGGAGCCCCAGCTTGGACTTGTGCGACCGCTGGACTTTGCTTGTTTCCAGTCCCAGCGCAGCTCAACAGCTGGGAGAGATGCAGCCTGGCACGGACTTTGGCCCTGTCCCTTCACAGCATCCCTGTGGCCTCCAGAGTTAACGACCATTTCT